TATTCTGAACCTAACGAAAAAAATGTATTTCACTGTGTTTGTTTAGTATTAAATTATTGTAAACAAATCTAAAAATTATAATTTTTTACATTAACATTAATGAAAAAAATATATCTTTAAACGTATAAGAGAAAATTTTAGAAAGGACTTAATTTTAAATGAGTTCTTGCTAATTGACCAGTTTTACATGTTCGGCACGACATATATATATATATATAATATATATATATATATATATATATATATATATATATATATATTATTATTATTATTATTATATTATTATTATTATTTATTATATTAACGTTATAATCAGATTGATTTTCGCGGATTTATTGTTTAAGAAATTAATTCTGTTAAGTCAAACTCGTCCATTCGGCTTATTCGACACGACATATATAAATTTAAACTAATCTATGATGTGTTTAGTAGAATTAAGTTAACATATATTACATATATTATTTAATCCATAAGAGAAAAATCTTGGAAAAGTTCAATGATTAGGGCAGTTCGGCCTAACTGACCAGTTCGGATATTGGGTATGACATACACAGGGTGTTTCGAAATGATGGACCCGATTTGAAATCATACTGCTATGAAATTGGGTCTATTTGAAACACCGTGACGTTTTGAAAGTAATATTTGAAAGAGGAGTAATGGAAGAGATGTAGATAAACTTGAGCATAGGGAGGGATAGGAGAAGGTAATTGAAGATTAAAGAAAAGTGAAGAATAAACAAGGCACAATACCGTGACTGGAATGATACATAACCCGTACGTAGCAGACTATACCGTAAGCCGACCTTTCGGTCCGACTAATGGTTCAAGTCGGATCGAAACATTGCCACAGGTTTTAGCCTCCTATGTGCGGATTATAAGAGAAATGAAAATGGCGACAAGTTGTGTGAAGCCTTTTAAAAGCATTCGGTTTGTTCAATGTTATGTAGCAAAAAAAAAAGTTTTTGGTGGGATTGCGACCAACTGTTCAACTGTTCACAATAAAATGGCACAATACCGTGAGTGGAACAATAATCATATAACCCACACATAGGAGAAAGAAACTAACGATGTTTCGGTCCGACCTGGACCCTTATTAACCAGACATGCACAGTGGGTGAGTAATGGTCCGACTCGGACCGAAACGTCATTATAAGTCTCCTACATGCGGGTTGTGTACTAATTCACACTAGTGGTCGGCCTTTTTTTGTGTTGTCAAGAAAATAGTTTACCTATTTTCTCAGCCATTTTGTGTATGGAAATTACGCAGGAAGATATATTCATTACTAATTGTTTTGAAGAGGCGCTCATGATATGTCTCCGTTCTGATTTCTCTTAAATATTCTTTCAGTCTCTGTTGCAGCTTTTCTTGCTATCCTTCTATCAAGGAGAAATTCTTCTCCGGTAGAACTCAAAGAATCCAAGACACTGACCAGGATAAAACGCACCATTCCTCCGAAGTATCAAAGACACTGACCAGGATAAAACGCACCATTCTCCGAAATATCAAAGATACTGACCAGGATAAAACGCACCATTCCTCCGAAGTATCAAAGACACTGACCAGGATAAAACGCACCATTCTTCCGAAGTATCAAAGACACTGACCAGGATAAAACGCACCATTCTTCCGAAGTATCAGAGACACTGACCAGGATAAAACGCACCATTCTTCCGAAGTATCAGAGACACTGACCAGGATAAAACGCACCATTCTTCCGAAATCAGAAGACACTGACCAGGATAAAACGCACCATTCTTCCGAAGTATCAGAGACACTGACCAGGGATAAAACGCACCATTCTTCCGAAGCATTAGATAACATCAATGGCTTATGTCTGATATATTGCTGCTTTTATGAGAAAAGAGAGAGAATCAGAGCACTGTATTCCAAAAATCACTGACTTGTTGTTAAGTACGAGTAAGTGGCGCCATCATGGAACCCACAACCTTCTACACAAAAACAGGGCTTAATAAATTAATACATTAGACACATGTGCAACACTTCTACCTGGAGGGTATTCCGTGGAATCAACGCCCCCGCGGCCAGGTCCACGACCAGGCCTCCCGGTGGTTCAGGGCCTGATCTGTCATGTGGGGTTCGAACACGTGGATAGGGTAAAGAAATATTCACGTAGACTGGTACTACTATCTCAGTAGTAGTACCAGTTCCTAGTAACCAGTTACCAGTAACTGGTACTACTACTGAGAGATCAACCAAGCTGTTACTGCTGGCCGCACGCACTCCAACCTACGAACCACGGCCCGGTATTTTTTTTTTTTTTGTGAAAGCGTTTCGCCACACAGTGGCTTCTTCAGTCCAATACGAAGAAGAATAGTGGCGATCAGGAAATTGAGGTAATCAGTCCCTCAGCCTGAAGTCGATGTAATCAGTTCATTTATCAACAAAAGAACTTTTTTCGCACTAGTTAGTAGATCTGCCGTTCCCCAAGAAGTTTGAGGAAGTTCGGATATTTACAACTAAACTGCTACTGAAGTTAGAATCTACACCTCTTATCAGTGAAGGAAAGATTGAGAATATTACATCAGAATATCTTAAATATTTAATTGCACAGGTACAGCTGTAGGATGGATCATATTGAAGTTACACAGATGGAATCTAAATACCTAAATGAGGTAATGAGAAATTTAATTAAAAACGTGATGTAAAGTGCTATCTATAGAATTATTATTATTATTATTATTATTATTTTATTATAAAAAGAAAGTATCTATCGAAGATATTTTATAACTGACGCAGTGGCTTTTCAACATGGTCGTTTTGTTACTCCAAATAAAACAATACCAATTACTGAAAGAGGATCGTATGATAAATATATACGACTTTTGTCTTATATTATTAGGTATTCGTAATCACTTCCGTATTCAAGAGCGACCAACTTTGTTTGGATTGTTAATCATGGAGGATTAATAATACAAGAGTAACCTAGAAAGCCAAATAACGCAAGTCTTGTATTTGGCGGCGAAGCGTTCGGTTTCTGGGTGTTCCATATACAAGTTAAGACGGCGCTGATGGGGGACCCCATTCCCATACCATAGGTTTCTAGAGCCTGTTATTGATAGAAAAAACAATTGAAGTTAAGGTAGAGTGCAATCAGATCAACAAAAAGTCCGGGAGGTGACGTCCAATGAGATCATTCTTTTGAATTCAACCTACAAAAGTCAACTAACTCCTAAATATTAACTACAAGAGAGCCAAAGATAATAGAAATGTTCTAGATTGTAGATCGAGCAGAAAGTCAACGAGTACCAGCAAACAGAGAGACACAAGAACTTGATGATAATGTTGAATCAATATACCCAGACAAGTCATAATACGGCTTGATACGAGGAAGGTTTAGCTCCAATTCCTCCTATCCCCTGAAAGGATAGAGAGAATGCGGTAAAATATTGACCAGTAGTGACTTAGTTTAACTCCCATGGTGGGCGAGGTCTCGCCCTGGGAGGTGAGGGTGCCATACGCACTCTGCAATCAATTGACTTTACGCACAAGCTAACCCACCTCCGACCACCGCCACCACCACGAATACCACCACAACCACCATCACCACCACCACCACAACCACCATCACCATCACCCACCATCACCACCACAACACCATCACACACCATCACCATCACCACCATCACCATCCACCATCACCACCACCATCACCACCACCATCACCACCACACCACCATCACCATCACACCACCATCCACCATCACAACCACCATCACCATCACAAACCACATCACCATCACAACCACCATCACCAACACAACCACCATCACAACCACCACCATCACCACCACAACCACCACCACCACCATCACAACCACCACCACACGCTGACCACCACCAGTTGTTTTAGCCCGTCTCTAGCAAATTACCCTGTTCAAACAGAATACACAGCGAGAGGTGAATCCTCTCTCTATATATATACACATATACCAAGAAATGTGTATCTTTCAGTGTATATACACTGACTAAACTCTCATTATATGTACACCGAGAAATGTGAATCCCTGTGTATATATACCTAGAGATGAATATATCTGTATATGCACTGAAATATGTGCATCACTGTATATATAAAAAATTTTGCACATTTCAGAACTCGAATGTTTATACAGAAATATATATATATATATATATATATATATATATATATATATATATATATATATATATATATATATATATATACACACTGCGAATCATTAAAGCTGTCTGAGTTATATAGGTCAAATTGAATGCAAATAGACACTAGTTCGTAAGCTTCGCTTCCACTTAATGAGATAAAAACAATCCTCCCCCCCCAGTGAGAAACATTAAACAAGCTTTCCTCTTAAAACCCACACGATAGGACCTGTATATTTCAGCATATTGACACAGAGAGATTGCTATCATCCCTCATTTAGGGATTTTTCTTGATAATGTACAAGTTTTTGGGAGTCTTAATCCTCCTAGTATAGTTAATACACCTTCAACTTCACGTTTTCCCCTGTAATTGCTTGTATCATGAACGCTGATGCAAGGTGAAAAATCCCTTGGACTGAAATATGAAACAGAGATGAGGAATATGTGAATATTGACTGAAACAGACCCCCTTTTCAGCGTGGTTTCTTGCTAAGACCGAAATATATAGATCTATATCCCCATGTGTTTCGTATTTGTGGTCCAAGTGGTTTCTCACTTCGCATTCTGTGAATGGTTTCTACGTCCTTGCCTGATGGGAAATGTATTTTCCTGGTGACTCGTAGATGAAGCCGCGGCAGCACAGAGGTACACTGGAGGCTTTCCGCCTTGCTCGGGAGTCACTGGGCGATTGAGCCAGTCGTATTAAAGGAGGTTCATGAGGAATTAATCCAGGATAACGTCTCTCTCAGGTGTGGAGCGCCCGCTACAGCGCCGCTGATAAAGGTTCCATCTGGTGTCTGGGTGGGGAACTAACTCATTAACATTCCTCACGACCCTGGGACCACGCAGCGTTCAGTGTCGAGTGAGACTTGGTGAAAGGTGGACGTGTAAGTCGGGCTCTCTCTGCTCGGGGAGACTTGCTCTCTGGTCTGTAGCACGTCCATCACATAAACGGATGACAAATTTGCGGGATACAACGGAAATTGAAGGATAGTGTAACCACTCTTGTGAGAGTAAAGTGTGAGACGGAGACCTGGTTAAGGAGAGTTTTTTTTTTTTTTAAGATTTGTGGTATATAAAAAAGGCTAAACAGCAGTACTAAGAAAAGTTTTTTCTCTGGTATTCAGGATCTCTCGTCTCGGTGATAACTTTCTTACCGAGTGCGTCGTGTTGATCATGGATATATGGCTGTATAAGTAGCGAAAAACCCGTCTCCCCAAATGAAAGGTGAGTCGAAATGTCGTTTTTAAAGCAGATCTCTCTTTAAAACTTTCTCTGCCGCGGTGCGCACATACGCACACACGTGTGCTTGACCCATACACACGCACACGTGACTGCCTTCATACACACAAACACAGCATACAACCTCAAACGTACATATACACGTGGCATACACGGCCTTCAAGACGACAGCATCACAACACGACTGATGACACTCTGGTACGACCCCGACGAAGCGACTATTAGATGCTCCTATAAATAGTCCAGAAAGAGCGTTGTAGTTAAGACTCCAGTAGCGATACTTTGTCATTTTCTTGACATTATTGTCCAAAGGTTACAGTAGCAAGATTAATGAAGTGGTTGAGTCTCCGGTTCTCAACCGATAGGACCCGGGGTTCGATTTCTAGGCGAGCGCGAGATGTGTGGGCAAGTCTCCTGAAAACCTGGATAAAATGAAGTATTTCCTACTAGTATGGAGCCAAAGGCAAGGTGCAGAAGAAGCTTTTAATGTGACAAGCAAAACGATATCCCAATAAATATGTGAACCACGGTACGGGTGGGGGTTGAACTAGCGCTAGTGAGTCGTAAAACTAAAGACCAACTCGTCAGTATAGTAAGTCAGTATGTGCTTTGGAACCTGTGTCTTTGTGTCCTAACACCTGCTTTCCTTCTTGACGTCGCACTATATAAGAGCCAATGTGTGGTAGGTAGCATCCTGTGGCATGGGGCGGAGGAACCATAAGGAAATTCACCAAACACTCGCACGTTATAGGAGAGAAACGTCAGGACGTTGTTTCGGCTCTTTCTTATCCATTATCAGGACAATAAATAACTTGGCTTATCTGCTTAATCTTCCGGGGTTAATTTAATCTTGTATGAGGTTCCGTGATTGTTTTAACGTTGTATTGCGGATCTGTCGTTGTATTGCGGATTTGTCGTCGTGTTTCCATATTTGTTGTCAAACCTTCAATAATATGTTCTGTTTATGAAAAAGTAAATGACAAGACCCAGTGTATATTGTTTATTTGCAATCTAATATACACGAGCACTCAGAAATGCTTTTAATATAAATTTATCGTAATTCCTGATATTTAACCCTAGCCAAAGGAAAAAAAAACGTGCATTTGTGTATTGACGCGAGTCTAAACTAAGGAAGGCTCGTATATCTCTCACCTCCCCGACCCAATGCACACACACCATTGTTAGACGTTTGCAAAAGTTTGTTGGCCTGTGTTTGGCCGTTGCCAGGGTCCGCCACTGGTCGGTGTTGAAGAACGCAAAGTTGGGTGAGGCACACACGCCCGCGACGGCTTTAGCGCAAGCTTACTACTTGAAAACTTTTCAGTTTCGCGCAGTTTTGAGAGGGAGGGAAGTGGGGCGGGGGGGGGGGTCTGATCCTCGGGTGTACTCTGAAGTCTGACTTCGCGAATTGTGGAGAAACTTTGCGAAGTGTATTGGAAAGTTTGAAGATAGCGTATAGTAAGAAGGAACTTGACGTTTCGAGCAGTGAGACGTTTCACTGTATCTTGTGAAGTTTCGAACAGTGAAAAGTTTCACGTAGTGTGTTTCAGAGTTTTTAATCGTGAGTCTCAGTTACGCTTTGTTGTGTTTTAAAACATATAACAAAAGAAAATTTAAAAAATCAGAAATTTAAAAAAAAAATCGGTATGTCACACTTCCCAGCATAATAAAAATGGCCGTAAATTATATAACGCAAAAATCCAAAACACTCCATCGATGTCGAGGATTTCCATTTTTTAAATTTAAATTTTCAGACCCAGCCGGTGTAAATAGAGACAGACATAAGTACAATTATCACAGTGTAAATTATCTAGAATGGACGTAGATTTCTTCGTAGCAAATGTCACTCGTCTATCATCATCTGTTAATGGTTCTGAAGATGATCGCCCCCGCTCCCCGCTGTCAAATCGGATCTTCTTAATATGAATGGAAATAGAGAAATGATAACAAGGACCCCATTGGTAATATGTACAATAACCCTAATGGAAATAAGTACATGGACCCCAATGGAAATAATTACTAGGACCCCAATGGAAATAATTACAGGACCCCAATGGAAATAATTACTAGGACCCCAATGGAAATAACTACGTACAACAGTTTGACGTTTTTGGGTTATACTAGGTAACGTACACACACATGGTGTTATGTATGACAATTTATGTAACTGTATTTACGTGTACCTATACCTGAATAAACCTAGCTTAACTATTAAGCATAACCAAGATTATAATGAATGTTAAGATGAAATCTGAAGGACTTGCCTGCTATCTTACATATTCATGAGGACAGTCGGTAAAACTGCCACACACATATTTGGAAGTGAAATTTTATGCATCTGGCACTAAAAAAAAAAAAAATAGGTTATATTAGGCGGATTAATGGGTTGGAAGTCATATATGCAAAGAAAAACGCAGGAATTTAAGCCCCATGATCAAAGATTTTACGTGGAAAAGCGATGCATTAATCGTATCTTGAAATACTCAGAATGATTAGATATACTCGGTTATATGATATCTCGTGTACTATGATACGATTGAAGAGTATAAAGGGGTAAAATTAATATAATGTGAAAATAAAGTAAAGAGAACACCAGGACAGAAGTCCCAACAATGTATAAGAATATATGAAGGAACACTGCAGCAGGCCTACTGGCCCATGCGAGGCAGGTCCAAATCTCCCAGCGGCTTAAGCCAATGCCCCAACCTAGTCAGGTCGGGTCACATTCACTTAAGGTATAAATTTATCCAGGACAGAATTAGATTTATGAAGTATGGAGGAACACGTCACTGATAATATATTTGGCATGTGAACGAAAGTGCTAAAAGCAGCGCCACTAAAGCCAATATTTTTTATTGCATAATTCCACACCTCTCAAGTGGTTTGGTGAGAGTCCAGGAGCTGTGTTTCAACGTTGTTTAGTTTAAGCAGGTGTACAGAAAAAAAAATAGGCGACGTTTGTATTTTTTAATATTCTCAAAGATTTTAGCAACATTTTTTTTTTCATACATTTCTTTCGCATTCAAGAATGTAATGATGAAATGTACGAGAATTATATTGGCAAAGTTTGTGTTTATGACTCGCGAAATCACGATTGCAAACACGACACGGAACGGGTGGGGTTCGAACCTCCACCAGTTCCGTGAAAAAGTTTCCATTAGACTGGTTCTGCATCAGCTGATGTTGCGTCCTGCCAGAGGAATGTGTAGATTTTGTGGAACAAGTCGTGAACGTGTAGCATTAAGTTCAGGGTAACTCAAGTGTGTTTCTCTGAAGAGCTGTGAGAGTACAAACTTGAGTGCAGCGTAAACCGATGGATTATCTAAGTCATCAGCAGAAAACCTAGCAAGATCAAAAAGTTCTTTGGCAGTAAATAAGATCTGTCACTACTGAGTTAGTTTGCCTAGTTGATCAGGCCCTGATCCATCGGGAGGCCTGGTCATGGACCGGGCCGCGGGGGCGTTGATCCCCGGAATAACCTCCAGGTAACAATATATATAGAAGTTGTTACGTGTGTTTTGGCTTTCCTGGACCACACAAACCCGTGAATTTTTCTGTCTTCCTTATTTACAGTCAAGACATAAAAATATCTAAATGAATGATATTTAGAAAAATATTTATATTGTAAGTAATTAATTACCGCCAAGAATTTCCCTCAAGTACGTGTATATATATTGCAGCTGGCCTATTAGCCCATGCGAGGCAAGTCCAAGTCTCCCACCGGCTTAAGCCAATGCCCTAACCTAGTCAGGTCAGGTCACATTCATTTAAGGAAGGAGCACGGCATCTGACCTAATAGCACAGGTAGGCCTACTGGCGAAATGAAAGTTAAGACACATGTGCAACATCTGGATATCTTTATTGTAGTAGACGTTTCGCCATCCAGTGGCTTTATCAATACAGATTCTAGGACATAATAGGAAGACAGTAGAACTATATACAAAAGATGAGGTAATCAGTCCCTCGGCCTTGGAGTTAGTGTTCACAGCATCGTGGTGGAGGAGAGTCTGGAGCAAAGGCAAGAAGACTGGCGCTTTTTATAGGCGTCTTGCACAACTAGGCCTACTGGCCCATGCTTAGCAGGCGGATAAATTTAAACTCCGTGTGGAACAAATCCAGCATTGACTTGTACCACACAAATCCAGCTTTGATTTGTAGGCCTTGTTAAGTGCCTCACTGACACCCTTCACTTATACACCACCATTAAGTGTGCACTAATCATGATAAAAAGGGAATAAACGCTATATAGGATATACAGACTTCTCGGTGCATGTACACTGAAATACACACCTCATGGTGTATATACACAGATATGTGCTTTGGTGTATATAAACTGATGCCCCGTATATATACAGTGGGAGGTACATAGAGAGAAACCTCTTCGTATATAGATAAATGTCATAGAACCGGCAAGTTAATATGTGCAACACTTGGGTATCTTTAAGGAAGTGGTTTCACCACACAGTGGCTTCATCAGTCCTGTGCAGAGAATAAAGGGGAAGATCAGGAGGAGTTTTGAGGTAATCAGTCCCCCAGCCTGGAGTCGATGTGATTAGTCCATCAATCTTGACTGATGAAGCTACTGTGTAGTGAAACGTTTCCGCAATAAAAATACCCAAGTGTTACAGACTTCTTGGTATGTCTTTGATATTCCTTTGATGGGTTTCGAGAGTCATCCTTTTCCCGCAACCTGGCCCAGGACTATGTATATACTTTGATGCATATTCACTAATGTAAATACAATAAGATATATTGTTCCTCTTGTTGAATAAACACTGAGAGATACATTTACCTCGGTGTATATATACAAGTATAATAGCAGACACACACAAACACACACACACACACACACACACACCACAACCCCCAACACCCACCACACACACCAAGGCGACTAAGCTGTGTTAGTTGTGTGTGTGTATGTGTAATGGCACTGTATAGGCCGTGATGTTTCGATCATGTGTTCGTCGTGTAGATTAGTTTCG